TACCGAGGTTTCATTAGCAAATCGTTCACCACCGGTTTCTGAATTATGTTTTGAAGGAAGTGTGGATCTGCGTGATATTTCATTAGATCGTGGCAGAGATGACCAGTCTCGTGCAGACTTCCAGTGACTTTCAAGTTTCCTCCACTCCTGCGCTTTGTTATCTAGACCGACGCTTCGAAACTTGGTTTGGATGGGTGGTCTTCCATTCTGACCCCTAGGAGTAACTACCGTCCATCCAGGATCTGTTTCAACCAGTGCACCTGCAATTTCACCCCCATCTGAGCTATCGGATTTAGCCTGAACCCCTTTGTCATCAAGAAGGGGTAGTAAATTCTCCTGTAAAACCTCTTGCTTGACGAAAGTCTCGCCGTAGTCACGGCTAAATCCTCGAGCTAGTGTAAAGGAATACGGCTGCTTGCTTGAAGACTTCTTATAACTCGTCCTAAGATTTTCAATGACCGTGTCATTGACATATGCTGTTTGAGAAAGACAAGCTGTAAGGAGGCTATTACTACCACTTTTGTCAGTGATGTATACCTTCCTAAACCTGTTGATCTCAGCCCCATATTTTATCTAGACTCATTGATATGGCCAGTGTTAGTCTAAGTTTTCTCAGCGAGCTACGAGTACATGACAGCCTATCTTTAAGTACATATTTACTAATACCCATTCCGTATGATGCACGATCCTCGCAGTAGAGAGCGCTATTTATGCAATAGCGCTCTCTACTGCGAGGATCGTGCATCATACGTATCTAATACCGCAGTTCAAATATATGAACTTCATATATTCATTGTATCTAATACCCATTCCACTAACTATTTTCATACAAGTCAGCTGTAAACACGTGTACTAAGAGATACACCTCCATCTTGAAAATGCTCCGAATACTATGATGTTTAAGTATTAAAGCTTAGGTATGATATGGAAACTAGCCTTGACAAGGAGTATTGCTGTGCTTCATCTCACCCTCCTTAACTTTGGTTTTTTTGGATCTTTCCTTCCTTTTTCTTTCTTTAGGTCTTGCTCCCGATCCAATAGCTTCTGTTGAGATTAAGTGAATGTAGGAAACTTAAAAAATGTCTGAAGAACTCGGGCGAATATTACGTATTCGCATTTTTAACTCCTCATGAGATCGATCTTTCACAGTTCAAATCAAATAAACTGGTCAACATTTTTCCAAGTCCCAGTAAGGTATTGTTCAAGCGCGCCTCATTAGTTCAATAGCATCATTTAAATGAACATTAAACCAACCGCAGTAAAACGAAATAGAATCTTACTGGATAGTTTTTCACGTTGCTTTCATACAACTTGGGGTGGACTAAACGTTGTAACATTGGAACTAGGCATACCTTTAAGTTTAACCTGTTTCTCACTTGTCACTCTTTTGGATCTTAAAGCTTCCATTGCTTGTGTAAATAAGAAAATAAAGTGTCAAAACTTTCAAGCCAGTTAAAGGGATTAAAAATGATCGCAAATTAACAGGAAGAGGATTGTCGCGGGTATGCTGTGAAAAGTACAGCTCAGCCAATTTGAAGTCGATAGTCACCCCGGGATATCTGTGTTCCAGGTTAAGCGTTATAGCTGTGTAGTTTATCGATCGACTTCCGGACCCTTTGTACCCTGATGAATTCTCACGTAAAGAGGCGTATAAATATAATGAGGAAAGAACAAGCGACGCAAAAAAAATTGAATAGTCATTACCAATATATAAAAATGTTTCGTGCTAGTAAGATGATAAAAAAAAATGGCACGCATCCAACATTTCAGACATCCCTGAGACAAGTACAAGATCAGAACAATAACCATGCTTATATATTGTAGATCTAGACATACCTACGACAACATCGAAAGATGGACGTGATTGATTTCCAGCCAATTTCACTTTCTGGTAGGGTAAAGATGGTTAAGAAAATCAAATCCTTCTTTTCCCAATTACACTGTTATTACAATGTAGGTGATTAATATTCGCAAAACACATTTAATCATTGTTAGGCCTGGCTGCAAGCTCGACCTGATGAGGGTGATGATGATGCAGAGGAGTTGACTGGAAAGGGTTAATCGTTTGGTGAACTACGTAATTATACGCTGGGAACTAAAGGAAAGTGATAAACCTAAAAACCAACGAAGGAACAACCAACCAGAAGAAAAGATTGAAGGTCAAGGAACGGAAAGAGCAACACCTAATAGGAAAATTTAATTTAAAAAATATTGTAAAAATAACTTTTGGGTTATTTTGAGTTTTGCTACTCTTTCAGGCCGTGAAATTAAATTCATCTATAAAGAGAAAACGAACCTCGTGTTGCTTCTGCTCTTGATATTTATCTCTCTCGATTTGTTTGCTGATTTTCATTCGAATTTTCTCTGCTTCCTGAAGGAATTAAAATTGAAACTCAATCAATCAGTCAATCATGGTCAATTAATCAGTCAGTCGTCATTAGAAGGCATCAACCAACCATCATTAGTAAGTATGGATCTTGTCACTGTACTTGTACCTACATCGCTCAGTTAGCCATTACGTCTGCCTTTCCGTCGGCTTTTCCATCTATTAAGGCATCCATCCAGTCTGTTTGTCCATCCATTAAGGCAACCATCCATCCATCTATCCATCCATCCTATCTTCCTATCTACATACCGACCCTCCTATCTACCTTCCCACCGAAAGACACAAAAGGAACTCGCTGATTTTCTAATCACGGATGAGAAATGTATATTTAAGCTGAAAATTCAGGTACAAAAGAAAACACAGTTCTCATATCCACGTACACAGCCTCAAATACTAAATACGCTAGGTAAAGTAAACAACTTCTTACTTTCCGTCGCCGGTATTCTTCTTGCTTTCTCTCCTTCTTGTTCATATTCTGCTTTCCAAAAATTAATAACCAAATAAACAAACAAGCAGCAACAAATCAAACAAAACCTTGTTTTACAATACGGGCTCTTAGTTATCACCTGAAGCCTTAAGATCTCATGTGATATTTTAACTTTTTTGTCCATGGTTCTAATAGAAACCTACCGATCTCTTTCCAGGAGATATTAATTCAGGTGTTTTAGCGTCCGTTACCTTAAAATTTGACACAACATTCCATGAACTCGTTCGTGGAAACAAAGTGTAACACTGTCTAGCTGACTAACTGGCAGAAAGTAAATCAATGAACCTTTTTCTTAGATTTTGTATCTCTTGCTTCGAGGCACGCGTCACGTCAATTACAAGCACATGATGAAAATCCAATGTTTTTTTGTTACCTTTCTCTCTAGTATCTATAACTCTCTCTCTTTCTCTCTTAAAACACGCTGCAGCAGACTCGGAGCGACATAGCGCGTGACAGCTAGTGCTAAATTAACGCCTGAATAAGCTTAATTAAATATTTCGTCAGATATTTTTTCCTTTTCTTATAGCTGACAGGTTGACGAGGCTCAGATTACTGTTAAGGACCTAAAATTGCTTTCTACTTTGGAACTTACTCATAAGCTGATTGGATAGTTGTATGGTGTGCTCTAAAAATATGCAGCCCCAGAAATGGAAAAGAACTTAAATTATTTCTTCAAACGCATAAAAGCATACAAAACATTGTATGTCGCTATTAAATTTGAAAATTAGAACATACCTAAACATTTAACTTTTTGATTTCCAAACATCGTCTTTTATCAGGTAAAGATTGTGGTCGAGCGAAATCTCAAAATCAGTTTACCTCTGAAGGCGAAACCTTTCGCTCCTTGTCGCATGTCTCATTCTTCTTGCTAGCACCACAAATAGACCTTATTCATAAATGACCGCCGCGCGAAAACGGCCTGGTTTCGAATGCATGAAAACGAGGCTTGATAGGCCAGAAAATTCTTGGAGAGCACATTTGTGACTATAATTTCTCAAATAATATTGTTTAAGTAGTCTAAAGTTTTTGAGGATATTGGCAGGAAAAAGATTTCTTAGTCACTAAACGGGATATCTCTGAATATAGACCTTATTCATTTATGAATAAGGTCTATAGTTTGATAGTTATTAATCAAAAGGTGACTTTGTGATAAGAATCTGCACATATAACCCATTCATCTACTGCCTCAAGTTAAAATGTCCCGGATCATTAACTTCACGTATCAAAATTTTCGTTCACGATTTTACAGTCACTTTATTTCCTCGCACAAGTTAGATCTCTATAAATCAGTAATCTTCGTTCGTCCGGAATTGTTAAATAATCATTATACTTGATACGCTAGGAATGCAACTAGCAAAATGACTGCCAAGGGTTGGTACTTACTGAAGAAATACACCCAAAGGGCTAAGCAACTGTTCTATCGCGGCTACGGTAAAGTTTTCAACTACTGAAAATTTAAAGGTATTGAAATTAGTTAACCTTCGTCACAAATATCCAATTCTCGGAAAGCGGAAATGTCGCCTGTCTATCAAATCTTATTTATGATGTGTTTTGCTTCCCTTCTCTGCTGACTGAGTTACGCAGGCAAGTATTAATTGCATGTCACGACGAGAGAGTAAGGAGTTGGAACAATGACAGTGCGAAAAGCTCTGATCTTAGTGCAAATTTTGGTAATAAGGGCGCTTTAATGAATTTTTATCCTTCTCCAATTGAGGTAGAAGCTTGATCTGGTTTTGAATGATTTACCTGTTCGATGTTTCCCGGGAAACACACCAGGATACCGGGAAAACATACAGGTCACTTTAAGGGGATTTATAAATATCTCAAATTTCTAACATGATACGGAATATTTAAGGGTGGGTATCGTTGTATGTTACACTTTGTTTTGTTTGAAATCAGAGAAAAACTTGAACAGAGTGTGTTGGCAAGCAGACAATGAAAGTGAAAAGGGTACAGGTTGACAGCCTTAGCTCCAATCGTGCGATAAAATAGGTGTTATCTCCAATTGTAGATCAATGTTATTGATCACGCATAAGAGAATAGAAATATTCATGATCATATAAGCATTCTTTAATAAAATTACATTTTATACGGTCTCAGTGTATACTCTGAATCTGTAGCCAAAGAGCGATAAGGAACGAATACGCAGCGATTGTCGACATGATGAGGCAAAATCAGACTGTATTAAATTACAATATATTTGTAGTCCTAATAGCTTTAACCGGTTGAGAGGCTTTGCAATGTGTTTTTGTCGAAGTTGGCCACTGCATTAGCAGTTCACATCGAATTTACATTTTTCTGTGAATCATCTATTCATGCCAATTCAAAATGACAGCTGTTCCTCATTGCTGAATTGCGTAAATCCGTGAAGTCATTCGGAGCGTTTCTTGAGTTTTCTTTACATGGACGACCAACAGAATGCAGCAACCTAACTTTCGAGTCCATCGAACGATCGTGAATAAAGTTGAATAGTGTCCAACAACTAAGGGAAGCGGCAAAGCCATGTAAAATGAGGCGATAGACCATGTTGCCACAAGAGAAGTTGTTAAATGTTTAGCACATTTGTTATTTTTCTGATGATAAAGGCTAATGTACCTGTACTTACCATTCCTCCACGGAACTTCCTCTCATGAGTTTCTTTTTGTTGTCCACTCTCTTCTTTCATAATGAGATAAGACTGTTCCATACCAGTTTTTACATCTCCAACCTCTTGTTTGATTGGATCTCTACTGGTAAAGCCAAGTGAGTGAGACTTCAGTGAACCTCCAGCCCCTAATATCAATGGTAGGCAAGAATAGGTCCATTAAGTGCATTTATCATCACCATCAGGTTACCAGAGGAAGAACTTATTTGAATAAATAAGTGAATGAAACATAGAATGACTGTAATAAATGAATGAACTCCTTTGACACATAATTCAAACTTTCGATCACTCCTTAACATTTAGCCTGTCGTGATTATCACAATCTCAGGTCCAAATGTATTCTTTGGATTAAAAGTGTCAGGCGGCTGCTCCGATGTTTGTCATTGCGGGCCATGGCTAATGGACATGGACATGGCTAAAAAAACCATAGCTATCAGCATCATAGATAATGTTATAGTCACTGGCTAGATATTACTTTTAACATTTATGCTAAGAGAATGCCTTGACTAATAAATGTAAAGCATATTAGGCCAATCACGTAAATATGAAACAGTCAAGATGAATGTTTATAAGAACTGGGAAGCCCCAAATGGCAGGAGGCATACCGGTTGGCTATACACAAAGTGCAACGTAGGAGTTGAACTCCGGATAACCAACAACAAATCCAGTGAGTAGCAGGTTGGAGGCCTTGCACCAGGACCACTAGGACACAAGCCCAGCGCCCTCAGCCATACCGCCTCCCTGTCAAAATGTCACTCACCCATATCTATAGTGCACCTAGAAAATTTGCACAGGAATTTAACACGAAAAGGGAGCGCACTCTTAGAGTGTTAATTTAAGGACTGCTATTGTCAACGGTCACAAGTAACTGAAATCCCTTCACTGACCTCGAAATGAATGCTTCTCCAGGTACACCCTGCATATCTTATATTCTTCTTCTTCCATTGTTGTTTTAAGCTTTAACTTTACTAAGTTAAGCTCCTGTAGGATGTCTTCGGTGACAAAACAATCTTGAACCATTTTACCTAGATAGCCAGATAAATAATGATCCCACAGTCTGTCCAGGATCTGGAGTGTTACACATTTTACACTTATCACTAAGCTTCCAGGACCAACGCCAGTTAAAGTGATTCGCATTCTTTCCAATTATGTCAAAAAGTCTCCAAATTCCTTTCTACTGTCTGGTGGTGCTACCTTTAGGTACCTCAGAGCAATTTCATGCAACACTTTTTCTGTGCTAGTGTCGTTTATAAGACGACCGTCTTCTGTCCCAGGAGGTTTAGCACCGCCAGTTGGCATTACATTTGCCCCTGGTTGTGGGCTTCGGTGATATTCTGATAACTCGACCTTTGATGAAGCTGTTCCAGTATTCTGCATGTCGCCTTTCCGTGTTTCCATATTGTCAACATCGACAGTTACGTCCAAAACTATAAAGATTTGGTTGAAGGTCTGTTGAGTTGTACCTTTATTTCAAACATTTTTGAACAATCTAGTCTCTTTCTAAAAAATAACTCAAAGCAACAAAATATGAGTATTTTGATTGCTCAAAAATCTAACATATATCATACACGTTAACCGACAGAAATCTAGAATATTCTACAGAAAACTATTTTACAAAGCAATAGATGGCACTAAAATACCTGTTCTCTTACCAGTAAAATAGTCCACAACGGATGTTGCTGTTATACTAGTTACCAAAAGAGCTATACAGCTTGTAAATGTACATTATGTGTCTTTCACTCATTATCAACAAACGTTCATCAAGTTATTCCAAGACTCCATATGGGTTACTCTCTTCTGAAAGACTTCACAGGATCTTTAATGATCTCTTAGGATTGTCAAAAACCTACCAAAGATCCTTAAAGACAAGGATCTTTATATGACCCGTAACGGATCTGTGAGAGATCTTCAAAGAGCATCTTTAAATGTGAAATCATTTCACAGCATGAAAATGCAGCTTTACGAAAACGTAAATATGACGTAAATTTGCTTAAAGTTGTATGACCAACTTTACGCTAGTATTTAAAGTTGTTTAAAGGTGATTAAAGATCAATTTACACGATCGGTACGTAAAGTTGACTTAAAGCTAGCGTAAAGGTGAATCAGCTTTACGCTTGTTTACATCGCCGCTTAAAGTGCTCTTAAAGAACAACCTAACACTACCCGCGTAAAGGCATATTAAAGGTCGTATGTAAATATATTCTTATGGTATGTCAATAACATTCAATTCCATCACTAAAACTTGATAAGAGTCTGCAATTGATTAGTTCAAAAGCTTGCGTATGCAAATATAGACCCTGCTGGCTATGCCATACCAATGAGCCACAACAAGAGCGAAACAGCTGTCCATGGTTACCACTTCCCGGGTGATATGGTTGTTCGCATGCGTACAATATTGGCCGTACCAGGGGATTGTAGGTGTGCTTTTGAGCAAACAGGTTACAAATGATCTTATCTCCATACGCATGCCGTGGAAGAACTGTTTTACAGTTCTCAACAGCTACCACATGTTTAATGTGGAGCTGGCGCTTAAAGAGGAAGCTTACATCTTCTTCGTTAAATCTATCGTTCATTCTCGGTCCGTGATCGCAAGTGAAACCGTGCTGGCTACGCCATGCTCTAAATGGGACTTTACGTGGTTGAAGTAATTACTCATGGCTGATACTGCGTTGGTGATATGGCCGTGCGCAAAGAAGGGGCCTTAACAGGCAGATGGTACTTTCTCAGTAGTGCTGATTACAAAACAAAATTTTGGTTGCGAAAGATTTGGGAAGAAAACTTGGCCGAATACCATTTTATTTACCGGCATTATTAACGTTTCCAGAGTGTTTAGGCACATATATATTTGGCGTAAAGGAGCTTGTATTTTCGCTTTACACAAGCTTAAAGTAGGGTTTACACAAGCTTTACGCAAAACGTAAAGGCAATAAGTAAAGTTGTTGTTTCATTACGCCAGCTTTATATATACGCGTAAAGGTGCTGTAAAGCTGAACTTTACGTAGAGTAAAGGATGCGTTAAAGGCCCATTTTCGACCAAGATGCTTTGCGCGCCCGGATCATTTTTCATATATGAAAAATACGCTATTTTCCTCGTAGTTGCAGAATCGCTTTGATATCTTCCATCTTACTGATTGGGGCTTTCAAAGTTCCATCTTGAATCATGTGCGAACAACAAACTATCGTTGTATCCATATCAGTAAATAGTTTTTAATTCTTACATGTATGACGGTGAAAAACGTCATTTGAAAAGTTGATGCCGCCAAAAAAGCGGTCTAGAGGAAGGCCGAGTCTTTCCGGCTCGGCAAAGGTTATTCGACTTCGAGAGTCCGTGTATGATTTACGGAGGGCAAGGAAAACAACCATGGGTTTCGGTAACACTACAGACAGTGCTTTTGCAGAAATATTATTGCATTGTTCCTACGATGGAACTAGAGACTCCGGGGAGATTTTTTCCAGGTGAGAATAATTATTTGACTGATTTTTACTTGAGATCCTGAGATATGTATGTAAGCGATCTCGTTTGTACAAGCCATTATTCTATAATTGAAATGCGTAAAGTAAATCAGTTTTGGCCAATATTGCTTATTTGTTTATATTTTATTTAGTGTTGAAGCCGAACAATTTCCTTCAACATCAGGTAAGCTTTGTACAAGTTTTATGATACACAGACTCGATTTATGATTTTTCAGTCTCAAATATTTAGCTGCAAATTTGTTTACTGTGTTCTTCACCAAATCTTTGTTTTTCTTTTTAATAGTGATTGTGAATGACTATCAGAGATCGCCATTTAACAATAACGCGATTCCAAAACAAAAACAAACGACTGCAAAGGATCTCGGATGGAAATGGGCCTTTAAGTTGTGTAAAGTTAAACTATACGCTGTCATTACGCTCACGTAAATTTCATTTTTCATGCTGTGAAATTTGTAATCAAGATCCTTAAGGATTTGATAAGGATCCTGCGAGGATTCTAGGAAGTTTTTCATGAAGATCGTAGCAAAGTTCCCTATTAGGATCTTTTAAGATCCTCAAGGTCAAAACGATGATCTTTCAAAGATCTTCTTAAGATCGTTGCTAGGATCCTCAAGGATTTGATCAGGATCTTACATGGATCTTTGTCAAGATCTTTGAAAGAACTTTGCAAAGTCTTTGAAAGGATCCTTCAAGATCTATCAAAAGTTTGGGAGATGGTGGAGTTATAATTTTTTTCGTGTTTAAAATGCTGATTTTCGAGTTTTAAATGCTAATTTGCTCTGTTACCAACAGAATTGTATTTAAGTTTCTCCCCCATTAGGCGGGTGATAATGATTGTTTCTCTTTCGGCCACGCGAACAAAGTTTGCAGGGTATGTTAGCATCATTTAAAGCTTGCATAAATTATCTAGTGCAAAGATTCATTACCGTGTGTAAATACGCCTAAAGGATTTTCCGATCGCGTACCTTCAGTGTTTTCTTATAACATGCCATTTTTATGTTTCTATGTGTGATAGAATATTTCGGCCGTCATAACACTGGTTTCAGGCGACTTTACTTCGGGTGGGATTACTTTTGAGCGACGAGAATTTATTGTGATATTCGGATATAACGCCGGTGCGCTGTCAATGGGCGTGCTCTATCAGAGCACAAAACATGGACCTGTCTTTCATTCATAAAACACACGTCTTGAGCAGTTTGTACTCTAATTTTCATGTGAAAAAATTTGCGTGTTTCAGTTTAGCCACAATTCGGCCAGATTTCATTTAATATTTCACTTTTAGACTCCTTATTGAGACTAAAAGCTTCTGCAGGCAAAAGTGTTAAATTCGAACTGCCAAACCATTTCAGTTTGTGAACTAGTGCAGATTGTGAACTTTGACGGTCTGACATTTTTCACAGCTTAATTCTTAGTCAACCAATCAGATTACCTGAACCATCCTAGAAAGGATTCTGATTGGCTCATTGTAGCCTGCTTTATGAGTGTATAGAGCATGCTGACGACACGGTTGTTCGCTTTGGAAATAAAGTTTGTTTTGAAAATTGTAAGTAATGCGTGGTGAATTTAACGCGACGGATTCTTTATTATAAAATAAATGGAGAAGCATTGGGAGAAACACGAGACTACTGTTTCTCTCAACACTTCTTTCGTGCTTTAGCCACTTCCCGCCTGCTTTACAACAGAGCACAGTCAAGGCTCCTCTATTTGTTCACTGATGTGCATGAGCTTTTTTAGCATTCAGCTAGTCATTTATTTGCGTCATCACAAAATTTTTCGGTTATTACATCTCTTTCTGAATTCCATCTGTGATATGACATTTAAAGATAGAGGTTTACTAACCTCACACAACACATTTTTTGAAGATTTTTATATTTGGTGTCGGCATACATAACCATTTGCGTCAAAGCAGCGGTCAGCAGTGTTTTGATCACGTGACATTTGCTTATGAGGGCACCATTTTGAATTTGAACGTTGAAAATTTTCGGTGTGAGCCTTGCCTTTATGAGACAGTCAACGAGCAGTCGTTTCAAAGGAAACAAACATTTCAGCTTCCTTTCATTGTCAAGAGATATTTTTTGGAAAATATATTAATTATTTAAAGATAGAGATCAACAGACGAAAGGTAGGAGACGTATGGATTGAGATCGAGAGACACGGCAAGAAATTTGTAAGTTATTGGGTATCAGATACGCTTTAAAGGAAAATGGACTCAAGGTTTAGAAAAGTTGTACCTCTGGTATCAGAATTAATGTGAAATCATTAGTACTCGCTGGTAACATCTAGACTTTAACGCGATAAAGGTGTATTCTGTGAAGTAAGTTCCATCTTCCAAACTGTAAGAGTGTATTATCTAAATCTGAAATAATATTACATTTTCACACTGAAAAGTTAATTTCACTTTCGATCACAGGTGGGAGAGCGAAATAGAAAAAAAAATTGGTATCCAAAGTTCAGGAAGTTAGGCATTTTACCATATGAATTTGTGCACTAGGAAAGAATGTCATGTGATAAATATGTTCTCAATACTCTGAGTGATCGAAATGCTAAAAATCAAACGAAAGTAAAGGTAGAAGAAGAAATAAATCGGAGTGTCCTGAGCAGAGTTCCTCTAGACTTCCACTGAACTTATTTAACTTATTTGAAAGATGTTGTGTGTGCATTAATTAAAGATTTTTGCTGGTTGTGTATTTCCATTTAGCAGGATACCTTGTGGATTGTGTTAAAGCAATCGTATTTGGAAACACCCTACAATAGAGTGTTAGAATATTGATTAAGATCTTTCGTTTTAACATCTTACATCAAGTTTCATTTTTTGTGATGAAGCTGCTGTCATTTAAATAGGTATTAGATTAGAAGCTGTATTTGTTCATGCAACAATTTGTTTACTACATTATCATTCCCTAGAGCTATATTTCAAAAGTACTACATTCGTTACTATGCAAATGATCATTTCTAAAGTAGGTTTTGTTATCAGACATTGTTGTAAACTGTGTATTGTCAAGCTACATAATTACAAAATGTTAAATTGTTAGCTTTGGTGGAATAATTTTTCTTTCCTTGTATTTGTATGCCTTTTTTTGGCAGAAATAAAATTTGCTAGTAAATGTAGATGTAGCAATTGAAAACTGTTTGTTTCCTCAATTCATAAATGTTTGGTGATTGATCTTGGCAGTCCCACCAATATTAAGTGGTCACCCAAAGGGAATTGCAGGGTGACCACTTAATACAGGTTGACCACTTAATAGAGGTTCCACAGATTAGGGCTAATGTGTAAAATGATAAACAATGCCACTTTATGCAGCTATAATAGACCACTAAATGTAAAGAATCAATCCAAACAGATTGTTGGGACTTGGAAAAGGGTGACAACGGCCGCCTAAGAGAGTTGACCGCCTAATAGAGGTGAAAATTACCATGATTTAGGGGAAACAATTTCTGGACTTAAATAACTGACCACCTCATACAGGTTAACTGCTTAATATGGTGCCACTTCATACAAGTTCAACTGAAATATAGTTCAAGGTTTATTAAGAATTCTCAAATTCTATCAGCAAAATCTTGGTCCTCAGAGATCATTGTGGAGATTGACAGAACCAAAAGTTTTTTGGTAGTTCCTTAAGGATCTTGGGAAGAATTGTGAAGAAATATGACAAAACTGGGAAGAATGTTGAAGAACTAAATGATATTGGCATGAATTTTGAGGATGTTCAAAATGCATGTCAAGATATTCAAAGATCTGTATGGATATTTATACACTCTTATTGTACACAACAGTGCCATAATAACATAAAGTTGATATTTCTGAAAGAAAATCCTTCCAGGAGTACTGTTACATGATAGAATAACAAGGCAAAAAAGGCATATGCAGCCTATTTCCTGCCATTACCAGAGAGTGGGGGAGGGTTGCTTTCCTGTTTTATTTGTGTGAATTTGCTTGTCTGAGGTGTAAATCCTCGCTGCATCCCTCTTATAAACTATTATAAAAGTAGGTAGGTCATAGAATTACCCAAAGGGTACCCCTTCTCTATACCTCCAAAAGAAATAGCCTTCCCTTTTCTAACCATCAACAAATTGTAAGTGGGAAAAGAAGAACAAAGACAATCTTTATAAATACATGTTACTGTTATTTGGGAGGGGTTTGTCTTAAAGAACTGTAGGTAAATGAATCATGAACATACCATTTGTAGTTTCCAGTGCCTGCTGAATCATCCCTTTGAATCTGTTACATTGAGTTTGCCATGGGTATTTCTTTTGGTAATTCTCTCTCAGCAGTGTGGCATTGGTTTGCCTCTTCTCTGGACTTTGGCTTGCAAGCTGCCTTATTCGTTCCACCCATTGCTCAACATGTCTATCCGGTTCAACAATGGCAGATTTCCCTTTTTCCACTTCTCTCAAAGCCTCAGCAATTCCACATTCACTGGCAACTAAAATAGGAATACCAGCAGAAATGGCCTCGAGTGCAACCAAGCCAAAGCCGTCGGTACGAGAGGGTAGTGTTACTAGGTCTGACTGATGCAAGTTACTTTTAATGTCATCTTGGGCGCAGCTGTAACCACGGATCGTTAATTGGTTGAGGTCTATTCGACTTTTGTTTAGAAACCATTCCTGAATCTTTTTGTATTCACCAGTAGATGCGCCAACGAATGTCAGTTCAAACGCTTTTCCAAGGATACCTATGGCATCGGCAATAATGTCGTAGCCTTTCAAAGTAAGATCTTCAAAGTTTGCTCGGCCAACTAGTAAGACTTTGAACACCGACTTATCTGAGACTAGTCGCGTTTCACTGGCAAAATTTTCAAATGTTCCAGGGGTGATAATCTCTACCTCTACATCGAGCAGACTTCTGCTATACTTTCGTTGCAGTCTCCTGCCCACAGCAACGAACACATGCGCTGCCTTGCACAGCTCAATTTCTCTTTTGTGTTTCTTCTCATTCTCTTCGATTACATCTGTTCCATCGGTAGTTGCAGCCTTGTACTTTCCAATATCTTCACAGAACACGTGAACAAATTGAAGCCATTTGCACTTTGTAGCCTGAACGATGAAAAAGGCCGGAGCACCGAACTTTCTTCCATGTCCGATTACGATATCAGGGTGAGGAAGCTCTGAAGGTGGAATTTTCAACCAGTCCAAAGGATCATCTATTCCAGGAAGACGCTTAGCAGTGATTAGATTTACTGAATGTCGTCTAGCGTTTTCTCTGTCCTGATCGTCGCTTTTTGAGACGTAGCAATGAATCTTCATACTACCAGTAGTTGCTTTGGCAAAATTAATTGCAAGTTCTCTGTTGAAGGTCGTCAGGCCACCTTTTGTGGACTTCCACTCGTCGCACAAAAACAAAACATCGATTGGTCCCTGTTCTTTTTGTTCCCTGAGACCAGTGGTAACACCTGACATTCCCGCGCACGCCATTGTCTGTTCTGTGGAGCTTTCTTATCACGAACTGTATTCCCTAGTCAAAACGTTTGACTCCATCTTGCGGAAGCAACTCGCGGGCTCACAGGTTTTCACTCCACATCCAGCGGATTACTTCAATTTAATATTAAGTAGATAATGTAATCATCATATAATGGTTTGATAGACGCCTAGCGCGTAACTGTCGCAGCCGCGTCCGTCAGGGTGTATGTCATGTTTACAGTAATGGACGTAAAAGCAAACAAACTCCTCGAAAAATCGAAATCTGTATTTCCTTTTGATTAGGATCAACCTGGTTAAGCGTTCAATATTTCTCGGAAAAACAAAGATGGTCCGCCATGAACAAAACGAATCCGAAAACTGTGGTGAAGAAATTTCCGATTGTTTTAAAGTGGCATGAAAAAAGTCAATAATAAACAAATAAAATTTTAGAAATCGAAGTGACCTGAGAGATCGGTCTCTTGTTGTCTTATTCACAAGTCAAAGAATGATCTGTTTCATCTATGCTAGTTTAAATGAGTCAAAAGTCCTTTATCAAAGTTACCTGGGCTCATACTCTTAGTAGCCGAGAGAAAAACCCGGCCCTTAGTGACAGCACTGATATTTATGATACGCACAATTCGATTGGTTCTTATGCATGATCTATAGGAGGACAGACGCATAGATGACATCAACATTAACAACAATTTACTTTTTTAAATAGATTCCATGTTGCCGTTGATCTGTACAATAAGAAGACGTTAACAAAATCAGAGACATACTAGGCCGTGCCTTGAGTGCCGCTTTTTTGTTCTTACCACATTTTGATGTCATCTGTGATCCATTACCGAAAAGACGCACGGAAACATGAAATCGATTGGGTAATGTGATCAGATTCCTTTGCAAAGAACTTAATCTGAAAACGTACCCCTCGCTCCCAATAAGCTTCATAACTTGGTTTGCTGTAGTGCCCAACTAGTAAAAGTCTTTCATTTCGGCAGTGACGTGACTATTACCAGCGAAGATCAACTCATCGCTGGTTAACTTCATAGAGTCCTTTACTCTATTTAGTGACTCTGAGAAGCGATCGCTTCTGACAACACTTTGTACTTTATATTCTTTCTAATTTAATTTTAATTTATTAGATTCGCGACAGGCAGGGACACCGCAACAGCTTGCGCCAATTACTGCAGGCCCATTAGACTCACCTATCACATTCCAGGGGAGGATATCCACCACACAGTAATCTCGTGCGTGGGAAGTTAACGTCTCCTACCCCTTCTATCCCTGCAGGAGACGGGGTCTACGGTCTATCCATTTCTTGATATTATAGAAAGGTAGCAAATTCTCCTCAGTTATTTTAAGACCATGAGTATTGGTCCGGCCGGGGCTCGAACCCTCGACTTCCCGCACAACACAATCCGTCGCTCTTAACCAAGTGAGCTAACCGGGGGACTATTTCAAATAAACAACATGTCAAAGAAAAAGACAGAAAAAAGGTGGAAAAAGAAAAAAAAGTTAAAATGCTGACGAATAACTAAAAAACTGTCGGAACTGAGCATAATCATTATATTTTTACGAGTTGTGAGCTGTTTAAGAAATTTGGAACACATAAGCATGTCTTTAACAACTAGTTTATTCCCCACATCTCCCATAGATGTTACTATACTTATCAAAAATACCGTTACAGTATAAATACACAACCTGCATGCACATATATCCAAATTTTGGCATAAGAACGATTTTCAGCGATTGCATAGACCAAATTTTATTTGTAAAAGAGCTGATAGGCTGATTTTTATGAGGAAGGTTGCCAAATTCTAAATATCTTCTTCAGAATGAAACAATTAAATTTGCTGCTAACTGAGCTTTCAGCTTTTATGATCACTTAGCATTATATTCAAGATGAAGGTTACAATTTTTCTATCAGTTATTATTTGTTTTAAACAGTTATACAGTAAAACTTTTCTCTTTGTGGTTCGAACTAAATCAGATATGAGGATTAAATTACTTACATCCAGATTACTTTATCTAGAAAAAGAAACTGTGGGTGATGAATGTTACAGTGTTTGCACATAATAGATCAAATGTAACTTTCATATGACTGTTTAGTGGAAACAAAAGTTCAAAAAGGATTCACCTAGCGTATGTTACAAAGCAGTTGTTGAAAACTGAAAGTGTGCAAACAATGCCTGGAACGGCAAGATGGGAGCACAGGTAAGCAAACTTAGTAAAGATGAGGCGCACGGATTTCTCAGATGATTGTCTCGCTCATCGGCACCATCTTATAAACATAACTAAGCGCCTTTCCTCTATAAAAGGGAGCTAGTGTATTTTAACATTTGTAAGCACGGTTCATGCCTATGAAGTCAGTGTTGCTGTTTATATCCACGGCCAGCTATCGCCGTCAACAAGGCATGACTTATTTTTGTAATGGTGAATCAGGTGGCCCCATAGCTCACATACAGTAAGCAAATTCTTGTTGCCTGCAAGTGAAGAGAAACAGAAAATTGCTAACTTCACACGATTGATCTAAAATGATTCAATCTGTGGCAAATACCTCGTAAGGTTATCGTAAATACTTGGAAATGGCATCAGTCGGCAAAAAATCGAAAGAGTTTAAAGGGGCAACGTACTTATTCGCATGTGCTGGGTTTTCTGATAAAAGGGCGCGGAGGAATGACTTTTTCCTGACAGATACTCTGAGTCTAAATGAAAATAGTTCACTTATAATCAACGCTAAAGAAATTCTTAATTATAAAAGCAGTAGTTAAACAAATCAAACAATAAATTTCTTTTAATCTCAGACTCCTGGTGGATGAGGGAAGTAGCAGACTTTTGTGCATGCAGGGAAGTTGCCAATGCAGAAAGGTGTAACCAGGGGTATAAGTATTGGCACAGCGTGGAAATGAAGACTCGGGCTGCTGGTATATACAGAAAGGTACTGATTGATCGCTCTTTACCAATAATTGCTAGTCCGTTGATACGCAGGACTATATTTCTTAGGCGAACTCATTTTTACCCATCTTACCGATAAGGCAGATTCCTTGTTTCGCTCTCGTTAGAGCCACATTTATCTGGTGTTCATCTGTCACAAAACCCAGGTATTCTCTCAACCACTGGCGGTCAGGTTCACAGTCTATTTGGGCCTCTGGTAACGACCGGACCAAGGAGATGATAACGAAATCACTTTCACTCCCTACAAGAAAATTTTGGTTATTACCAGATAACCAGATTTTGCTTGCGATTGGTATACGTCAAAGGGTCTCTAGCTCTGCCGCTTTAAGCTTCCATGTGAATTATATGGGTGTTAGAATGCATATTTATTGGATAATCAAACGTTCCATAAGTCCTCTATACACATAAACACACGAAAACAAAGCACCAAAACAACAAATAATGAAAGAAAACAATATAGACAAAAGGCGAGTTTTCGAAAGTAAAGTAAATAATGTACAAGAGCCTAGGAATGGCTTCGATGTAGTCAAGATGCAGAATTATATTTAAAGGTGCATGATGTTGGCTATGTCCGCTGAGGACAACAACAATTCTCTCCATTTCTCTTTTTCTCCCAGTCGTCTTTATGGGCCCCTCTTGCTTAAAACAGCAAAACAATCGATTGAAGGCTAGTGTGGCAAGAGATGGCTAACCAATAAGAAAATGATTCGATTCACAAAATGCCACTTCCTACCTTGACTTTTGATAATGGAAATAACAGGAACATCTGATAACTTTTCACCCGCGAGTCCTTCGCGGATGACATGACACTGAGCACGGTAAGGAGACAGTACAATAATTTGATTCTTTTTCACACCACAGGAATGGACCAGTTTTCTTACAACTTCCACCTGAAATAAAAAGTCCGATTAGGATTCGTTATCAACCGTGATAGAAAGTTGGGTTCACTGAACAGATTTGAAATTTTCGGTAGTTCTCTACTTCGCAAAACAAATATCCCACTAAAAGCTGTTTGAATATGGAGAAGGACTCCATGTTTTTTGATAAGGCAATGATAGTCTAATCTCGCATATAATATTTACAATCTCCTATCAAACGTTCAAAGTTAAGAATATCCAAGAGACTTTTCCTTGTAGTCTGCATATATTCCAGTGCTCTGACAGAGCAGATTACTAAAACAAACAAACAAAAACTAAACCTGTGGAGGCAATTGACAAACGGTGCATAAAAGTATGAACAACAAAAAGTTGGTTAATGACAAATTCTGACTCGCCACTTTATCTTTTTCTTGAAGGTTACTCTTTGATCGCTGATTGCCTTGTTCCGTTGTCACTGCTAACTCCCTCTCCTCACCAGCCACGTGGCAAAACACAAGAGGCACGTAATCTTTATCTTTATGGCAAGGCCAGAAATTAAGAAACTTTTTGCTTCTCTTTGCTTTTTTGTCTCGATCATCAACCGAAGAAGAGGTTTTAAGTTTGTCCTCATAAAACATTGTAGACGGAAATTCACAAATATCTCGATGCTGAAAGGAAAAAAACTTAGAGTTAATATTGGAAAGTTAGGATGTTTGGTTTGTTGCTTGTCTACCTACGGGGCCATTCACGAGTCTCGCAAAACCCGATAACAAATGTGGGACGCGATATCTTCAAAGAATGAAATTAATGGTCTTTGCCTTTGGTTACCAGCCAGCTTATAAGCAAGGTCAAACATAGGCCAACAAAAACAAGCAAGGCAAAGTCAAACAGAAAAGGAAAGAGAAAGTGAAAATTTATTGTAATTTAATTAAAACATACATCTACCAATTTACCATTCTGTACTGCTCTTCAAGCAAGAATGCATGGTCCGAGAATCGCTCGAACATTGATGTACTCAGCCCAAGCGACCTCGCCACTCTATTTTTCACAATCGGTTGAAGTTGTTTGTGATCTCCAATCAGTACCACCTGTTTCGCTTTTGATGAGACAATTGGAATAAGAGTCTCTGGCTCCCGACACATGCCACACTCGTCGACTATGCATTGGCACACATTGTTGCATGCTTCTTTTATTCTCTTGCTTCCAGCAGCCGAACACGTGCAAAGAACTATCTGCACGTGTTCTCCGTTATCCGAGTTTCTAATCGCCCACTGCTCGGCTGTCTTTATCAACTGAAAATGTACAAAAACATTGCAATTTGTTGTAAACTTCCTTCATCAATGAGGAGCATAATTAGATAACCATTCCAAGCTGGAAGTAAACACCGCAATTAATGCAAAATAAAAAGTAAGCAAATGACATCGAATCAGTCGAAAAGTTTCAGTTGGTTTTCCACAGTTGAAAAGTTTTTTTTATATTTTTAAGGTAAAAAAAAAAAAAATTGGAAAAAGAATAGAAAGCGTTTTATGAATAAGCAGTTCAATTCTTATACTATCTTATCCCCGCTTAACACTGGTTATTGTGAATTGCACCAGCTTAAATAGAGATAAATTACCACTTGCCTTCACTTTGAAGTCATAAAAAGGAATAGAACGAAAAGAACACGCAGGGAAGCTAAAGCAGCTCTGAAACTAGCTGGGCAGCTTCCAAATCGAATATAATACCGTAGAGACTAAACGACAGGACCACAGTTGGAATGTTGTCCGAATCCAGCAGCTTGTTATTAAATTGCACTTTATTTGAACTAAAATTTGAACTAAAATTTGAACATCAACCCAGGAAGATATTTCAGGCCTGTACGGGATTCGAACCACTGACCTCTGCGATACTAGTGCAGCGCTCTACCAATTGAGCTAACAAGCCAACTGGGAGCAGGCCATCAAATTAATTCGATATAAACCCGTAGATGATAAATCAAACAACAACAAACATATGAAACATATGTGTGAACTGCGGTTATGAGACGTATATGAGAACGATCCTTCGCAGTAAAGCACTATTTGAGCAATAGTGAAAATCAGACCTGAAAAAAATTTCAGGCCTGTACGGGACTCGAACCACTGACCTCTGCGATACTAGTGCAGCGCTCTACCAATTGAGCTAACAAGCCAACTGGGAGCAGGCCATCAAATTAATTCGATATAAACCCGTAGATGATAAATCAAACAACAACAAACATATGAAACATATGTGTGAACTGCGGTTATGAGACGTATATGAGAACGATCCTTCGCAGTAAAGCACTATTTGAGCAATAGTGAAAATCAGACCTGAAAAAAATTTCAGGCCTGTACGGGACTCGAACCACTGACCTCTGCGATACTAGATACTAGATACTCTATTGATAGGAATTCCAAAAAACAACAACAACAACACAAACAAACAAAAAATTACTAATGTGCCCAATGAATGAAAATCGAAAACTAAAACACAAACGAAATATTTATCAAAAGTTAAAAGTTATATCGTAAGCCGAACAGTTAATGTCCATTCAGCTGTAGGAAATATTTTTTTGGCCGAGCAGAGAACTTTATTATGGGTATGGTGCTTGCAAAGCACCACTTACATCCATATATTTTAAAATATCCCTCACCTGCAACGACATCTACAGATTTGTTGGAGGGCCCACAGTAAAGGACCTGAGGAGGAGCTTTGTTGGAAACATCATCCGCTGGGGTCGTTCTATTTGACGGGGTGTTTTTTTCGTTAATCATTGCAAACCAATAAGCGATGTGAACTCCTGTGATGGTTTTTCCAGTTCCTAAAGATTCAGAATATTATTAGGAATTTTTTTAATGATTGGACGTTTTGAAATAACGACAATAAATGCACTGTGATATCTTTGATGACAACAGCAGCGTAATAAATTTCATAATGATTGACTTTTTCCTCTCGATTCACACTTACACTGTCTCTTATTATAGACTCACCAGGTGGGCCTTGAATGAGAGTGAAGGGGGTTCGCAGGGCTTTCTTTACAGCTTGCACCTGAAGATCGTTCAGCCTTTTTAAGCTGCACTCTTCAACATAATCAGCAATCGAAAGGTTTTCTTGTGGTAAGCGGATATGGAGAACTGCGGATTTCAAAAAAGAAAAATAATCATAAACAGACTAAAAAACCGTGTCCATAAGATGTGATGTTACTTTTTTTACTCCTTAGCAAAGGGTGTTGTTTTCCGCGCTGTTTATATCGTTAATGTTATGAGCATAGTAATTGCTACTTGCCATCTAATCTGGTTGCCCTTCCCAGACATATGTCATGAGCAAGTGGAGTGGCTTCTGGAAGATCTTCCATGGTATTGATCATTCGTCTGGAAATGAAAGGATAGAGAATAAGAAACTGTGTCTGAAAACAAACAAAACCAAACCAAAACCACATAAGTGAGTTAGACCTATCAAAAAGATCATTTATTAAATCGGAAATAACTAAAAGGCACAACTACCTGCAAGGGATAGTTTGTTTTATTACTTCCACGGCGCAAATCCTAGTCTCGCCTTTCATGAGGCCTTTAGGAGTTTCCATTGAGGATTGAAACAGCTGGAGGGTAAAATTAAGAGAGCTTTCTGCTCTAGTGAAGACACAGTGACAGACAAAATATCGTTCCGTTGATTTCCTCTCGCTGGTAAAACTTTTTATGCTATTAGCATTCTTTGCCCCATGTGCATTGTTGTACAAAGCGGAGTACCCAGAGGATGCTAAATAGTTTTCGTCGGTCCGATGTGGAAACTTCTCAGAAAAGCCGCAGGGGAAGGAAGCTTGATAAGGAACCCTGACACAAGCGTAGTCCCCACAAAAAATTTCTATCTGTCTGGTGTCAGTAAATGGTTTGTACAGCTGAAAAGATCCAACTAGATTGCCCTTCTCATTCATCTTCCACATTACTTGGACGTTTTGCAGAACCAAGCTGTCATCATTTGATACAGCGTCCGTTGCAGCTTCCATTTTCAGTAAAGGTTTCCATAGGCTTATATACTTCGTTAAACTTCCATAGCGTGCCAGCGATGCCTTTTCTGATGCAACTTCTGCAAAGCATTTATCAGTATGCTTTCTGTGCTCGAGACACAGGTTGACACCAGGGGCTAATTCAAAGAGCTGAATGCCAGGTAACATGAGCGCTCCCATTTCGTTGGCTGAGAGATGTACTTCAACTACGTCAGAGACTTTTAACACCAGCTCAGTGTGAATAAAATGCAATTCCAAATCTTCTTCTCTTCTTGAAGCTTTTTGATCATCGAAGTCTTCACTGTCACTCCCAGAGTCACTCTCGTGATCATCACTGTCATCATCATTTTCGAAAAAATAGTCATCGCCGTCGTCATCATCATCATCTTCGTTTCCCTCTGCCACTGTTGGCTGATTGCCACCATCCCTTCCTCTTTCAATACAGATGTGTACCTCATCTAACAAGCTACTCAACTTCGCATGGTTATCTTCCTTAACAGCTTCTAATACTTTAAGCCAGAGAAATCCAGGGATATTGTGGGTAGCTTTTGAAAGGTCTATTTCTCTGGGCAAAATAGCCTCAATGGTCATTTTGTCTTGACGGAGATGTTCTCGCTGATCCTTCGTTCGCCTTGCCCGCTTCATATTTGCAGTTGACGCATCGTAAAGTCTTAACTTCCAGTTCAGTTCAATACATGAAGACGACTCACTTACCATCGGTTGTTCAATTGGTCCCAAGTCGCTAATCCTGACCCCGCTCTGATTAGAAGAGTAATACTCGTCTTCGTCAGAAAGAAGCCTTAGGTGAATGAAATCATACGCAATGGCTGTAACGACGGCGGTGGTTCTGTAACCTGCAATTTTAAGATCAAAAGAAAAACGACTTCGGCCACAATCTTTCTGAAATTCTCTCGATTGTTCAGTCAAAAACCAACATCGGCGAATGAGCTTAGAAAGATCCTCTGACTCTAGATCTTGTCCTTCTTTCTCAAGCAACAAACGATGAACTACAATGTCGAGATAACGCCGGATTGGAGACGTGAAACGAGTGTATTCCATTACGTTCAAAGACCAGTGGCTTCTCTGATTTAAAGGGACATCAGCTGCTTTAACATCTACGGCCCCCCTTGCAACAGCATTCAAAGAGGAGCGTGCCACTGAGAGTTGTGGATAGAGGTTATCATTGCAGATTAACTGCTTCAACTTTCTGTAATCTTTTTTGCGACAAGTCTTGGTGATGTAATTCCATGTAGAGATCGGCAGAACAAACTTCTCTACAGAACTAACATCTTGGACCAGGTGTTTTCTCAATGAGAGAGACAGCTTGGCCCAATTTCCAAACCTTTCCCTCCACTCATTGAATTTGTGCGTTTTAGGTGGAAGTTGAACTCGCAGAGGGAGCAGCTTCTCTTTCTTTCCTATCAGATATTTGGCAACCGACGCATTGGCCAAGATCATCATTTCTTCCACCAGCTCATGAGCCTCAAGGTCTTCTTTTCTGTCTTTGTAGTCGAAATGATAAAATGAAGCGTCAGCAAGCCGTACGTTCCTCCTTTTCTGGGCTACTTCACTCAAGGTTTTGATACTTTCTCTGATCTCTGATGTTACTTCAGGCCTTCCCTCGACAGGTTCGTTCATAATGATTCTTTGAGCCTCAGCATATGACAAACGGCATTGTGATTTTACGATTGTGCGGCAAAAATCAAGTTGCTCTTCTCTCTGGACACGACCATCTTTATTCAAATCTATGTAAATAGAAACAGCAAGTCTTTCCTTGTTTGGAAGCAAACTGCATATATCATAGCTTAATCCTTCCGGAAGCATCAATGCCTCGCCACTATGATGCCCTTTGTAGTGAGAGGTGCCTCTTTTCTCTGCCTCGACATCTACCTTACTTCCGCGCTTCACGAAGTAAGACACATCAGCGATGTGAATTCCCACTTTCGTACCATTTTCCAGAGTTTCTACGGTCAGGGCATCATCTAAAGCTCTACTTTCGGGAGGATCGATAGTAAATACATTTAGCACGGGCGGCCGGCTTTTCCTTTCATAATCAAGAAGTTTCGACCATTTTGAAACTTGTCGTTTCGTCTCAAGATCTACATGATCTGGAAAATGTTCCTTGACCATATACTCAAAATCAAGAATTTTGAGGGAATCTTTAAGTTTGTGGCCTCGGGGAATCTTTTTAGTCACAATTCCCAGTGGGAAAGGAAATTGTCGTCTCCATTGCAAATATTGCACTACGAAGAGATGTTTATCACTCAGCGCCTCTTTGAGAGGCAAACGTTCTACGCACACCAGTCTCTCCCCGGACTCTGGCGCAAATTTTTTGTATATGGGAATTCCCTTAAATGATTCGTCCGTCAAGATTGCCATAGGGGTCATCGATCCATTGATGGGGCACATGACCTTGGGATTACCCCTGCTAATGGTGCATACAAACTGCCGTTCTCGGAGACTAATTGCATGGTTCTTGATACAAACTATTTTTCCTTTCAGTCCTTCTCGATAACCATGAGGAGCAGTTTCCTCAATCGAAGGTAAGTTGGTCAGTTCAACTACGACGGTATCTTTATCAAAACTTTGTCGAGTATTTCCCTCGATCAAAACATCTTCAGTTTTGACATCTTGAATCTCCCCATAAGCGATTCTTCTTTGGTCCTTTGTAATGCGCAGTTTGCATTCTCGGTACAGGTGAGGTTGCTCTCGTAACATACGATCAATATACTCCGGCTGGAGGTTTTCCTGCTCTTTGAGTTTATGTGGGCGGATTAATCGCTCCGTACGCTCACTGTACTAGAACGTCATGTTCTCAAGAAAGACATTTGTTATACCACCAACCTCGTTTCTTATGTTGTAGTCTTCGTGAACAACTCTGTCTCCTGCTGTATTGCAATCAAAATGTTTGGGAAAGCATTGGGTACCTCTTTCAGCAGCATCTTTCTCCAAATCAATCTCTTCGCCCTTTGGCTTATCTCCTGATTTCTTTTTTACAGCGTTCTCTTCACATTTAGCTTTCAAGGCGAGAATTATCTCATCCATGTGCTTTGGGGGAACAGTTTCATCCACATTTACATATTCAGCAAAGTCATCAGCATTACCGACATCGTCACTTTCAGTCATTTCGTCTCCTGCATCGTCCGATTCAGATGTCTGTTCAGGCTCGCTATCCTCTGACTTGGAGTGATCAGTTGCTATGCTCTTGCTCTGGCCAGTTTCCAGACGCTTACTCTCAACTGAAAAAGTCATTTCGGTTCCTCTGTTTTCATCCAGTGGACTCTGAGATGGCGCAGAGGAGGACGTCCTGTAGGATGTTTTTCTAACATCATAAGGCTTACGCTCGCTTTTATTATTCTCAGCTGGAGCCGAATTTCGAGTATCTGTAGATCCACTTGGCACAAACACCGCAGCATTGATGTTAAGACTACTCTGTGAAATGCTTTCTTCAAGATCGTTGTGTTCGAGACCAAACACTCTCCCCATGTCACTGCATCTCTCTATATAATCCTCCCATAGGGCTTGGCAGTCACCAATGGTTCTCAGTGAAAATGGATCACCAACTACTGCGACGAGGGATTGAGCACGTGTAAGAGCTGTGTTAAGAAGCTTTGGATCTGACAAGAAATACAGGTAAGGCCTCTCATCTCCACTGGCTTCGCAATCATCAAGCTCTTTGAAAGTGTGAAACGTTCGAACTGTGCTGACAAAGAGTGCGCGGAATTGTTTTCCTATAGAAGCCATTAGACAGAAAATGTGAACGAGACAAAGAACAGTAATATTGAACAGCCTATTTTAGGAGTTGCGCACTTTTCCACAAATGACGCATTTTACTACAAAGAAAGAGAGTCAAATGTATGCTTTAAAATACCAATTAAGTTAACTTCAAATTTTTGTGGCGAGTTGTAGAATTCATATGCGCATGTGCAGTATTTCAACGAGGAACTGACGTGATCTAGCAGAAAGACAAATCACACAAATACCTGAAATGTGGGTATATCTTGAGACCAAGGGGTTTTGTATTTGGTACTTCGATAATCACCGTACTTTATAACATAACCAAAGAAAAGCGCGCGCTCTGATTAGTCAATTCAGCGCCCACCATTTGCCCATGGGTGTACGCTGCTGACGCGAGCAAATACAAAGACTAATTTCCGCGCGCGCTAGTTTCTTCTGGTCACGTAAGATTTGTTAAATAAAAGAAAACTCTTTTGCTATAATGTAGAAATGTTATGTTATAAAACAAATGGTAAACACCACAGTGTGCACTATTGAGTTATGGATGCACTTGGGAGGTTTGCTAAGCACTCAAGAAGCTAGAGATGTTCTTGGCTATCGCCTCGCGCGACTCTTACGCTTCTTTCTTGCTTAGCAACCTCCTGCGTGCATCCATAACTCAATAGTGTATGCTGTGGTGTTTACCATTTGTTAATTTTCTGATTCGCCCCTATTCCTCCGTGAGTTTAAAGAGAAATAAAAGCAAAAAAAACAACTAGCAACAACACGGTGATGTTATGAAGGATGCCTTATCGTCTCGCCACGAGCGAGGGACAGCGAATACATTCTGGACACTGATGAAGAATCGAGCCTCAGACCTTTGGGTTCCGGTCGCAAACGCTCTGCTACTGAGCCACGGTTATATCTCGGTGGATCAGAAAAAAGGATGGGCGCGGTGACAGAAAAATATTATTTTCTTTGTCGGAAAATGATGTTGGCCTACCTTGAACATTTTCTATAGTTTCCACATCAACCTGTCCGAGACCATTTTTTCTCAGTCCATCTCGAATTGTCTTCACCTATTGGAAGGTAGAAAATAACATTTCCATCGTGCTGCATGTTTTACATAAGTGGTAATCTTAAAAATTCTTTCTCTTTGGCCATCGTAGCATGATAAGAAATAGCACATAACTGCAGTTACAAACATGACAGTAAAACGGATGTTAGAAAACAAGATTAGTAAACTTTACTTGACGTTTCGTATGTTTCGACATACATCTTCAGAAGTGACAGTTAAGAATACACGTGGCGACTAAGTTTAAATTTGAGACAAGTGACTAATTAATATGACAACGAACAAAAGTTGAGAAGAAAAGATTTGCATATACAAAGATGCAAACTAATACAGATAAAGCTTATCGCTGCTGACATAATCGTTTATCATTATCATTGTTAATTCAGGAACTTAAACCTACTCTAAACGATAATGTCAGCAGCGATAAGCTTTATCTGTATTAGTTTACATCTTTGTATATGCAAATTTTTTCTTCTCAACTTTTGTTCGTTGTCATATTGATTAATTACTTATCTTAAATTTAAACTTAGTCGCCGCGTGTATTGTTAACAGTCACTTCTGAAGATGTATGTCAAAACATACGAAACGTCAAGTAAAGTTTACTAATCTTGTTTACCAACATGAGTTTTACTGTCATGTTGGTAATCTTAAGCATTTATTCCAAATCATTGGTTTTTTTTTTTCAGTTCAAGTATTACCTGGTAGTGATACGAAGACACCACTGCAACTTGTTTAAGATCTTTTGCTCCCCATTCCTTAGGCCAGCTATCAGCAAGTTCTCGAACCCGCCTTACTACTTCATTTACCTCAGCCATATTGCGATATGAGAAATGGCTTTCATCCAACTCTTCTTTGCCGAGAGCACAATAGAACATGAATGGTCCTAATGAAGGGTGCAGAGGCTGGTTGCTTCCGGTAGAAAGCTTACCACCGTAAAACATGTCGGACGCCAATTGTAACACCTGTTCATTCGACCTATAATTTTCTGTTAAGAAAATTACATTTGAATCCAACGTTTTCTCTGCATGACGTTGCTTGTATTCGTAAAATAGTCGTTCTTGTAGTGAAGTTCGAAATCCCCATTTCTTTGCATCAGGAGAAAATACATCAGGGCTCATCTGCAATCAATGAAATTTAATCATGATAGATGACAAAGACATCGCGAGAATGACATCTCCGGAATGACACACTCCAGCTAAGTTTATTTTTAACTTTTTCAGCAAGGGATGATGTAAAAAGAATTGCGATTTGAAAGCACGTTACTTCCCCAAGTTTACTCTCTTCCGAATTGCAAACCTCAAGGATTTTCCGTCCGTGTTGTAAGAGATTACTTAGATAAGAAATACCTTAAACTTAGCAAAAAGGAGGCATTTCAAAAGACAACTTCAAACCTGCATGTGATCTCCAGTGAAAACCACTTTGGTATCGTTCCCTGCGAGCGTTATAGGAGTTAGAGTTTCGGTTTCCAACGCCTGAGCTGCCTCATCAATTAATATGTGCGAGAAGAAGCCTCTATGGAGCTCCATATCGAAAAGAGCTCGTGACATCCCCAGTGTTGTCACTATGACTCGATGAGATAGCACATCATCACGAGCTGGAAGTCTAAAGGCCTCTGTTGGTTCGCCTTTATCTGAGATCAGGCAATACTCCTTTACTATAGTGGACACTGTTGAGAGTTTACGCAATGGTGTATAAATCCGCAAAGGTCTGGAAGCAGATATGCCATTCTGTTCTTTAAGATATTTATCTAGCAGTTGTACGTGTATGTCTGCAGCGCTGTTTGAGTGAGTGCAGATGAGAACACGATTGTTACGGTTCACGGAGATTCGTCGCACGGCTTGATTCAAGGTAAATGTCTTCCCTGTACCAAATGGACCAAACACCACGAGGGGAGGGGCGTCTGAAGATGGAGCTGCAATTCTCCTGATAATTTTCTTTTGATCTTCATTTAACTTTGGATCAATAATCCAAGGAAGAGGACGAATCTGAAAATTACAAAAATATACATATCATAACTATAAAAAAAAAACTGATTAATGCTTAGAGATTAGCTTTGTAGCCCTCGTCAACGTTCTTAAAGTTCTGCGTTATGACTAATACTACAACGTGGGTAATGCTTACATCCTCCTCTTGACCGACCCTGCTAAAGGCCGGAAACAATATCCGTATATGCTCCGGTCCCAGTCTGTCTATGGCATCGTGCATCTCGCACAACGGAAGCCTGTTGATTTGAAACTGAATGTCCACTGTTATTTGACTGTTATCGTTCAGTCCAAGGTCTCCACAGCATCGTGCAGAAAGCTTTAATATGACACGGCTTTCCTCCACAGACTCTACCAAAGCTTCGTAAACTGTAGAATTTGGGCAATGACTTTGTGATATGAGCACTGATCCAGAGGTTGCGAAAAGATTCCTCAACAACAGTCGCCCATCTGCATCATCTAGTGTTATCGGGCGCGTAACATGAAAGGAGCCATACAGCCATCCTTCTTGGGCTGATAGCACTTCATCTCTCTTTACGACAAACTTTGAGGCGTGTAGATTTGTACTTTGAACGTTGTAACTGCAGAACAAAGAGAACAAATATGGCAAGATTTTCGTAGGTGTGCCAATATTAGACTTCTCATACATATACACCATGCATTCCTGCTTAAATCTTCCAGGCAGAAGACAAACAAAGAAATCTGGGAATAGGAAGACGTAGCGTTGGTCTAGCACTTTTATTTCATACTGCGTTTAAAGCACACTTTTTCGAATAAAAGTTCAAAGGACATGTTTAGATCTAATTTACCTTGCAACTCGTTTGCGAATGTAAAACTCCTCAACGAATAACAGTTGATGCATGACGTCTATGTAATTGTCTTTACTCAAGCCTTGTGATCCATCAAGAAGGGGACATGGAACAATATTCGCATGACTTGGTAACCCATACTTGTCTATTAAATGCTCGTTGTTGAACACTAATGAGCGTTTAGGTTCAAACTTCACAATTTCCCGAGACCCATCATCCAATACTCGCCAATCTGGCTTTAATTTTGACTTCGCTTCGCTATATTCTTCCAAAAACTCCTGGCTTCCAACTTCCACGGATATTTTCACAGCAAGATGCGTCTCTTTACCGAAGTCAAGGACCAGGAATTGCGCAAAGTTTCCAAAAATAGAGGAAGAAAATGACACGGCGATTTCTACGTCACAAACCCCTTGATGTTCTCGGAGATTCGATTTAACTGGGTGGTGGAACTGTTCAGGAATCTCCTCAGTGCTCCATGTTTCCACAGTCATCTGCATTCCTTTCGTACTTTGCGCTTTACAGCTAAACTTCACGCTCGACAGCGTATAGAATTTATGGTAATTTGGTAGGAGCACTATGTCCCGCAGATGGCCACTGACGTTAGACTACGGAGAAAGGAAAAACAATTCATACAGGAGAAATCGTGGAATCATTGCATGCAAAGCTGTTAAAATTTATATTATCCATTGAGCATTAAGCAGTACTTGTTTTGTTAAAGAGCATTCTCATCATTTCAATAATAGTTGGTGCTTTCAAATTTTTTAATTTGACTCGTGGTTTCAGTAAAGATAGCAAAAGGAACGTCTACTTAGTGTCTAATTCACTTTGCCCAGCTTTTCTTAAGTCTAACCTCATAGTGGAAACGCAGAGTCCAGCTGTATTTGGTCTCTTCTTTGCTGTTCAGAGGTACCTGTAGCGTGACATCGAGATCGTGGGGATCAAACAATACCGTCACTCCTGGAAGGCTTGGTACTAAGTCCTCAAACTAGAACAAAATCGAAACAATAGCCAGTTACTCGTAACGACGAGTTTGCAAATATCAGATTTTACTACTAACGTAAAGCTAGAGCAAGCAATTTTTCACCGCATTTTCTTGGTTGCCCAACACTGTGCATTATATGCACCTTAAAACTCTTCTTGAACAACAATAAGTAAATGCATTAAGTGAACCTTTACCAACCTTGTAAGTAGGGGCTGGACGCTTATCATCATCTATCACTGAACTGGTCGTTGATTCTTCACCTTTTTCCTCTCCCTTTTCCGTTTCCTCCTCCTTTTTCTTTTTCATTCTTGCTTCCATTTTTTTCAAATGTTCATTCCATGCTGCCAGTTCTTTTTCACCATGTGCAAGCAAGCATTTCCTATCAAGCTTGCAGGTGCCTTTCCTCCACCTAAAATAATATAATAAGAGAAAAATCTGAATAATTCCTATCTTTAAGATTAAAAAATATATCCATAAAGATGATACAAACGATAAATTTTGTCGCTATCAATTAATCATCACAACGTTGGTGAAAAACTTACTCGGGGCACATTTTGTACTCTTTGCCTTTGTTAGGAATTCGTAAGGGAGCTCGACATTGTCCTCTAAACTCTTTTCTCCATTCTTTAAGTGCAGAGCCAACACTAGCTTTGCTTCTGTTTCTCCTTGCAGTTTGGGGCTTGGTTTTGGACAAAGTTGGTTTATGAAATCCTGTAAGAAAGCAAAATCCTCCAGTTTAAAGTGAGGTGAAAATACCATAAGGAGTTTGAAGAGCGCTACCTTGTGGCGTTGATGTAGATTTATAGAATGATATTATCCCACAATAGCTGCAGATCTTTTCAGTTTCTAGAAGTTAAGTTTTCAGCGAAGATTACAGCAACTGACCAACCAATGAAAAAGTTCTTATAAGGCATTAAGAGTGAAGTAAATTCAACCCAACACATAATGATGGCTTTGTGGCTACCTACGTTTCTTTCTTTCCTCCTCCCATGCTACTCTTTCGGTCTCGCTATGTGCAAAACAGCACTCGTCACCTATAGGGCACCTTTTCTGTGTAAGATATATGCGGCAGAGGTGGTAGGCACCATAAACATTCAATGGTGCTGGACGAATTTTATCCTTGGGTCGTTTTGAGGATTTTTTCGTCGCCCTTGAAACTACAATCCAGTCGTCAGAGGTCGCAGCACTCTCTTGGGAGTCTATAGGCTAAGAAATAAGAAAACAGGAGCATCGTTTAACTTTTCTATGTATCGAAAGTATGTTAAACTGCTTTAAAAAGGAGCGTCTAAACATTTTGAGTACATGTGAGGAATGAAACCCCATACAGAGTGAATTTATAACAATTCCTATCGCTGACCCAAAGAAAACCCTATCCAGGAACTTACGACATGTTTCCCGTTCGGAAACGACGCGATACCCTTAACTGCAGTTTGTGGAAATGGATTTTGGAAATGTTTTCCCAGCTTCAGTTAGCACATGAAGACCATTTAGGAACTCAGTTTTCCTTATGAAAAGAAATAGTACTGACAACCTTGTTAGAAACAGCAGCTGGAAGCTCATCTGTTTGGATTGTCTTTGTAGTTATTTCTTCACTCCTAACAGCTTTACGCAAATCTTTTGCTGGAGTAGAAGTGGTTCCATTGCCTCTATTCTTTCGGCTATTTTTCCTGTTTAGAGTCGGTCTCCTTCTACCTAAATGATATCGATTTAAATGTCATTTGTTTGACAACAAAAACAACTACGACAACAACCCGATGAACCGTTACTTATCAAGACTTTTTCAGAGAAACTTTAATAAGGAGATGAAATTTTTTGTCTCGAGAACAAATGAAGGCAAGGATAACATCAAGGGTATTTACTTTTTTTGAAGTCTTCTTCCCAGGCCTTTCTTTCAGCTTCACTGTGTGCGTAGGTACAAAGCTTGCCTTGCCAACAGAGTTCTGGTTTATCAGAGTACCTGCAGAGGCGGTACGCGGTATAACCACCTGGTGGTCTGGGTCGTATTCCACTGATTTCCTTACTTGGTGACTTCCCTTTCGCTCTCGATGGTTGAGACGCTGAAGATTTCGGTACATCACTGACAAAGCCTTGATCACTTTCGTCAAATGTGGGCATTTGGGGGCGACACTGGGCCATCGAACCCAGATCACCAGGACAGGTATTGATGCTACAAACGCTGCTAGCATCAGAATCGTCAACTGTAATCAAAACATCATGATTTTCATTGAGGAGATCAAGAGACGGAGATGGTGCCAGACAGGGAATGCACGGGGCAACCAGCAAAAGCAACACACTCGTTGCTTTAAAGTGTGACTAAAGGTAAAGCTAAACAAAAGGCGACTGAAGGAGAAGTTGAGAGACAAAAACAGGTATTTACCTTCTCTTGCAGCCCTTAAACTTCTTGTTTTATTTCTTATTCTTCGTCTCTTTTTTCGCTCTGGGAAAGCAGAACCTATAAAACAGAATATCAGCGCCTTCACCACACTTTGGTAGGAAAATACGAAAGAGAGCAAGATAATAACAATAACACAAATAAGTGTTAAAACAATAGGTACTTCGTACGTTTCTCAGGCGCAGCTGTTGGATGGAAGTCTTCTCCTCTTAGCGCCCCTTGAAGAAAAAAGTTATCTCTACTAACTTGAAATTAGACTGATGTTTCTTTACCTTAAATACCTCGCCATACGCAATTACACACACCCTTGAAACGGTGTAATTAAAGAAAATATAAAATAAAGAAAGTTAGCATCAAGAAGAATACACAGTGCACCCGGCTCCTCTTTAGATGGTTCACAGAATAGAACAGTAAGTCGGGTGTATATCTTAAGTCAGGTTGAAATCGCCAACTGGTTGGCCAGCTCTATTAGGGCTTCAATGACACTTTGATGAGGCTAGGAGGGCTTAGATGCAGGCACAAAAAGAATAATCTTGCCATTTATGACAGAGACCTATTAAACAACAGTCACTATGAAGGGAAGTTAAGTTATCATCTCTACTCCAAACGGCGAAGACGAAAACAAAAACACCAATAACAACGCTAGATACAAAATGAGTAAAAAAAAAGAGAAACAAATAGATTGTCGAAAGGTTGTTGGAAGCTGGTGAATTCTGGTAATTGTCTTATATTTTCTTTAATCAGCTGGCCTAGTGCGTATACGAGTCAACTTTAGCGCTTCAGGCATAGCTTAGAGAAACAAAACCACACTCTCAATAAAAGTACATTTTAACAAGTATTTACCAGGCGAATCGTAAGATGTTCGGGGTTCCTCATCTTTCATCTGAGCAGCAGCTTTACCCTGTGCGTAAGATACATTGGAGAAGTATAAAGATTCTATGCGAGAATACTTTTTAGCACATTTTCACTTGAAATGAGCATGTTTTGCTTCGTTTTTGTTTTTTTCTGTTTTTTCCTTTTTTTGTCAAACTAAATGCATAAGGAGAAGAGAGAAGGTCGGTACTTTCAGTAAATGATATTTATCATACGTTCGTCTTCAGTGCTATTGTGTCAGATTCCAGTGTCAAAAAGGAGTAATTTACGCCCAGTGCGAAAAAAAAAAAAGAGAAAAAAAGGAATTATTAACAAGAGGTGCCTGAAAATTGACTTTAAATTCTGATCTTATAGTTCTTAGGGCAAGAATACTGAGGCTGTATTCTGGCCCTACGATAAAGCATAATCCTGACAAAGCTAAAACGCCAGTATCAGCCTCTATTAACTCTATCACGAATTTTTAGAAGTTGTTAATGATAATGAGATTTGAATATTTACACTACCGAATTGAAAAGTCTAAATATTTATACTTATGCCTGTCCTTAGCTACTGTGCAAGGAAATAATGTATTGCAGGTTTTCACTAGTCATTCAGTTCTACTTTGCTCTGCTCTGTTCTGTTACTCTGCTTAGAAACACGCACCTGCACGGGCTTTACATTTTTCATAGGTGGTATTTCTACGATGTCGCTTGATTGATGGGCAGGTAACGATACATCGGAAAGCTACGAGATATAATGTTATTAAAATTTTGTGAGGAACTTTTAAGGGAATTTGAATAATACCCAGCAATATAAAGCGCTTCAGAAAAGTCTGAAGTGTTAAAAATTGAAGATTCTTAGTCGCACGGTGGTATTGGTGTACAATAGGGTTAACAATCATGCACTGCCATCACATACCCCTGATTATTTGGTTGTTTTATCTAGCAATACTGACTTATGCAAAGCAGGTTTTCATATAATCCTACTTACTGACTGACATCTGGTCATTAACTCTGGTCTGTCATGAAATTGCTTATCTGCCATCTTATCCCTGATGTCCCATTTGATCACAGCCAGCCCAGCATTCTTTGAAAAAGAGAAACGCATGCGTTACTTAGTGTGCCATCGCCAGGAAAGGCTTGTGGTTGACATCACTCGTCTTCGTACTTTTCCTTTATGATCCAATTCTCCGTAGAATTGTAATTATAAATACCTCTTATATCTTATACCAATTTAGATAGGACACTCACCGACTGAACGCTAGATTAAATAGTTTAAATCATCACATAGCTTACCTTGGGATCCATTGTTTGCCATTCATTTACTAGTCTCAAAGCATCTTCAAATTCCTTAAACTGAATTTTTATCTTGACTTTTATGTTGAACGCAACGGTACTTGTGCGATTGGTCAACTCAAGAGCTGAGAAATAGTATAACATAGAGTACTGGTATTAAAACGGGGCAAAGTTAAGGAGCATAAGATTGTTATTGTTGTTGTTGTTGTTGTTGTTGTTGTTGTTGTTTTCAAGCACTTGAAGAAGTTTAGCAAGAAATTGCATCATAAACACGCAGAATTCATATATTAAGAATAGTTGAAACGTTTCATACCTCGGTTACAGTCGCGTTTGGCTTGCAAGAAATCTCCCTGATGAAAGAAAAGAACCATATCATAACCTTGGAGGGAAACAATTTTTCCGGTTACAATTGTCCAAGTTTTTATACATAATAGCAATCAGATGGGTTAGACTGCCTTAAAGCTGTCGGCCACAACCCTATTCAGCCTGCAACAAACAAATGCCACGATAATATATTTACCAGTTTGAAGTAGCACTGGGCCCGTAATTCATAGGCCCCCACGACCGCTGGAAATAGAGTCAAGACTTCTGTAAAGAAGCTCACAGCTATTTCTGTCAGAGAATCTGCGAGCTTCAGCTCTCCCTGTTGCATTAGTATATCGATTGTTCTACTAACTTGGTGATATCCCTGAAAAGAAATCAGACAATGTTGTATTATTATTTACTTTTGATTCTAACTAGTAGCTCGTGTGATTAAGTTAGAAGGTAAACTTGAAAAACAAAATTAAAGTTGAGTTAGAAAGAGTGTACTAATGAAAGGAAAAAAACATAGAGAGCACAATCAAAATTATCATGGTTCCTGTTTTTAAGAATGTGTATGTATGTATGTAAGCGGTTTGAACGTGGTTTGTTTATTTTCCTCGATAGCTTAATGTTCGAAGAACTGAAACGGTCAAATTAACCTTCTTGCTTCTCATCAGAGAAAAACACATAAACGCAATACGTAAGATAATTTCTAAACTAAACTAAACCTGGAGATTTTCATGCAGCAATCTTCTACACGAATTTATTTCAGCTAACGTTTCACTAGAACATCTCGATCATAAAAGTGTTTCTCTGATAAAGAGTAAGTCTCATTCTTTTCAAAGAACTATCATGAACCATTCTTTACCTGTCCACACAACGATTTTACTTTCTCCCTTAACCTTTCCACAATATTCTTGTCTCTTTTCATCTACAAACCAGGTGAAGCATGGTTAGGAAAATGCAGAATTATGAAAGGATGTGATAAAGATCGAAATGAGATTTAACCTAAGTGCACGTACACAGAGCGACAAACAAATGATTTACAGAACTGAATAATAGCTTGTTTCAAAGCCAGTTATTCTCAAACATGAACACACAGTACAAATCAACATGCCTTATTCTCCGACAAGTCATAGAGTACAACACAGGTAAATCGAGTACCTTGTAAATCAATAACCGATTGCACAACGTAATATTTACAAAAAATGACTTTTATAAAAACTCAACACGCGCGTTTTGAGTTCGTGCAAAACAAAAACTTTTCCTCGAGAAACCTGCATTTTCATGTTGTGCTGTAGAGAATATCTGGCGACGTTAGCGAAAGGGAAGCGCCCTCTTGAGTACTCGAAAACATGCGCGCACGGGGGGGGAAGGGGAAGTGACAAAGAAAAGCTGAAATAAAATTGAAAGGTTCGATTGTGGGACAAATTAGTTTACTTATTGGTTATCAGAGGTTATCATAGCCGAGTTTGGTTTACTCCTGCTAGAAAGGGTTTCAACCCGGTTTGATTTATTGAACCATCTTAGTCATTTATTTCATATTTCCCACTAGCGTTTATGCTCTGTACGAAACTTACTGACAATAAAAGCGTCCAAGCTTAAAAGTTACCGTCTTATGAATGAATTCAAATGTTTGGAGTTTTGCGACAAGAGCTAGAGACTTGCCTCGGGATCCAGGAACTTGTAGATGATTGAATTTACAAAAGCTTTCACTACTTCACCCTGTGATTCTAGTGCGTGTGACCCTAGAAAGGTTATATGCTCGTTTTCTCCTCCAATGATTTCTCTGACTGAAAAATAAATTAAACATCAAAATGACTGTATGATATTTCCACTCGTTGCGAGAAAGTTTTCGCTTCAAATACGATTGCATCTACCTTTTTCCCCAAAAAATACTGGAAAGAAAGACTACTTCCCGATTTACTTACCAGAAATACAATCCCGCAAAACATGCTGAACGTAATTCTGGAAGTCAAAAGAACGAAAAGAAAAAGAAAGGTTTGTTAATGTACATGTAGCTTTTAAATCAACGTAGCGTGCGTTAGTAGCAGTTTTGTACTAATTTTGAAACAGCGAAGAGCAAAACCGATGCAGGATTGGAAAGAAAGTTAGCCAATCTTCCTCGTATCGCCACTGTCTACATTTTCATCGAGCGCTTAAAAAAAAGTCACAAAAGGGTAGCCGTTTAGAGATAGAAAACGATACTTACCAGATGAAGTAAGCATTCAGCTCTTTTGCATAAAATAGCAGTTCCTAATTCAGGAGAAGAGAAAACTTCTGAGTGACGAAGAGCTACTGTAAAAAGCGCCGCAGCTGTGTGATAGTCTTTAGTGGACATGAATTTCTCAGCATTGTTCACAGTTTCCATAGGATTTGACGAAACAAGAGCTGATCGTAGCAGAGCCTAAAGGGAAAAATAAACTTTAATTGTATGGGCCCTTTACATCTGTTAGAGATATGGACACTCGATGGGGATCAATCCACCATCCTCAGAAATGGCAACCGCGATGTAAACAGAAGTAGAAAAAGGACTCCCCTAAAAGAATAAGTAGTATGTCTCGAGTGGCCTCAAAAGCTTGAAGATATGCCCTAGCCTCATCCACATCAACGGGGTGTAATGTTATTCAAATGTTTATTAAATTCTCTCCTCACACACCACACCTAAAATTGAATATCGGTTGTAGAGAGCGCTATTTATGCAATACTGCGAGGATCGTGCATCATACGTATCTAATACCGCAGTTCAAAATATATGAACTTCATATATTTCATTGTATCTTATGTATCTTATTGTTATTTACCCATTTTATTATTTAATAACTTATCCGATATTTGGATATTAATCTAGTTTCAAACGTCATATTCCTCTCTAAAAATCTTGAAGAACCATGTAAATTATATATCTATATATTTATCCGCACTGATAAATCCAGAATAGTGCTCAACAGTAATGGAGCGGTAATAACAATGTTTTTCTACTCAATAAAGTTACGTGTGGACTTTAATACAGGCCTGTTTCGTAGACCGACAAGAAGTCGGTCCACTCATCAGTTAAATTCATCAGTTAACTGATGAGTGGACCAACTTCCTGTCGGTCTACGAAACAGACCTGTATTAAAGTCCATATGTAACTTTATTGAGTACCAAAACATTGTTATATATGCACTGATGAGGCCCAGAAGGCC